TCAAGCAGAAAAATCTCTTTTCTCATCTAAAAATTTCTTGTAAAATCTGACGACCTCTTTCGAATGTTGACCGAGATTTTTAGAGTTTGCGCCCTCAAATTATCATTAAACTTGGTTCTCGTGTAAGAACCATCTGGGGGTCTATATCGATCGCAAATTAACGTGCATTTGCAAATTGGGCGTCAGGTGTACCATCCGTGACTGTCGATGCTAATTAAATTAACACAGTATCTTCGTAAAGAAAAAAAATTATTTGTGAATTAAATTTTTCTGTTCTACTTACTAAATCTAATTAGATCCAAAAACGCAAAATTCCTAACTGTATTAAGATTTTGTTTTCACATTAAGATTTGAATTTTAGCGTATAGGCAGCTTAAGTTACACCAATATTAATTTCATATTTATATCCCATTAATATAGGCAACTTAATTTGTTTTTTTTTTATTTAAATCTACCAATGCAATGCAATTAAAAGTAAAGTTAACAAAATTACGGACCGTATAAGTACAAGAGAATAGGAAAAAATCCATCAAGTCTTAATTGCATTGTTGTATCAATTGGCCCGTCTTTGCAGTTTAACTGTAAATATAACGGCCATAACGTTATGCAACGCTGCAGCTTGGTTGCCAATTACAAGGCAAACGTTTTAGACAACTAATTATCATATGCCACCTCAAGAATCTGTTGAGAAAATTCGTATCGTATTAACGTAAAACTCGGGTTATTTACATTTTCTTATTGAATTCGTGATGTAATATTTATCTTGGTTTATCTAGAAAGGTACATGTAGTAGAAGAAATTAGTATAATGGAAAAGCTTTAGGATAGTATAAATCATTCATGATGCTTTCATTTCTTAAAAAGAGTTTGCTATAAGAATTTTTGTGTTAAACGATTCGTAACAGAATATATTATTCAAGTGAAATGTAAAGATGTTCCCGTTCTGGTTTAAATATCTTTAAAGAAAATCGATTTATCTTGTCAGAATTGAGCGTGGCAAAGAGAGGGTGTAAGCGTTCTACTATGAAATTGCTGTGGGTGTTTCTGTAACGAAATACGACGTAAACTTCCGACGACACCGCTGAGCAAAATTTATTACGTCCGTTATACAACCGAAGGCTCATGTTTGAAGCTTCGGGAGTTTATCATCAGTCATCCAGCTTTTCCACCCCATTTAAAGGGTTGTCACTAATACACATAAACTAATTACGGATGGTAATCCAGCAGAATTATTTATCTAATAATCTAACTATCAATTTTAACCCGAACCATAAATCCAACCTTTTTTTAAAAATTTGCGGAATCATCACCAATAAATCACGTTTTCAAGGGGATTTTTTTGATAATGTCCGAAAATTGTTTATTCAACAAAATATTTTCTGGGATTCATTCCGTCAGCAGCTATAAATCTTGGTTTTAAACGATTTATTGGATAAAGTGATATTGTATAATTTGAAAAGGAAATTAATACTCCAAGAAGAAACAGCATTATTTATCTAACAACAACATTTTATCTAACCATAAATTATTCCCCATTATTTATGTCTTCAAAATTCACGCTGTCATCATCATGATAAATATTGGTTTCAAGGGATTCGTTAGATAAATTGAGTTTCTTGGGTGGTGAGACTTTTAAAACGCCTGGCTTTTTCATTTATAACACAATTTATATTTATATCGTTGAATTTATTATTTTTATTAATTATAATAAAAATTTGTGCTTTTTATTAAAATGGATATGTTAGGTTTTAATTCTACCGGTTTTGGTCTTTTTTTTATAAAACCATCTTCAGAAACCTTCGAATTATGTCAATTTAATTTAAAAAATCGTATTTTTTGTAAAAATCTCATTTTAATAAAAGGTACAAAAAGAAAAAACATAGATTTTTATTATAATTTATACTTAACCATTTTGTTTCCAAGGGAAATTTATAAACTAATTAAACGTTTAATCATACAGTAAAACCTTGATATAACGGACTTCGGATATAACGAACAAAATATTTTTAAGTCATACAAGTTGCTCTATTCCGTGATCATAGATAAACTCGGGGTATTCCCCGAGTTGTCTATACGATGTATAAATCAAGGACGGCAGTTCTAGATTTAATTGTTATTCAGCGCTAGATTGTTGTATATTTTTATTGAATTAAAAGTAGAACTAATACTAGACCTAGAAATAGAAACTACGTCTTTTAACACGGCTAAGCACGAATGTTTCTAGTTCTAGGTCTAGTGTTAGTTCTAGTGGTAGTGTTAGTTGTAGTTTTAGTTGTTATACAGCTTTAGATTGTTATATAATTTTCATTCGAGTAAAACTAGAACTAACACTAGACCTAGAACTAAAAACATTCGGATTTAGCCGTGCGTCTTCAGACGCACCGCTAAACCCGAAACTTCCTAGTTCTAGGACTAGTGTTAGTTATAGTTTTAATTGTTATTCAGCGCTAGATTGTTGTATGTTTTTCTTGGACATTTCTTGGAAAGTAGAACTAACACTAGACACAACATTCGATACATTCTAGTTCTAAATCTAGTGGTGGTTCTGGTTTTAATTATTATTAAGCGCTGACGTCATTAACCCGTAATTTCCCGGGATATAGCAGTCGTCTTAGATTCTACTGTCCTTGGTATAAATACACTAAAGGTCCTCTAATCCGGATCAATTCAAATTAACTGAATCCGGATTACTGGAGCAATATTAAAATAAATATGGAAAACGTAATAAATAATAATTCTTTATTTATATTGAATATTATAGATATTTTCAAGGAAAACTAAACAATACGTTATATCGTAAGAAATCAATACAATAATAAGATTTACTGAAAAAATCTGATTTTTTTGTTTGACAAATACACTCTTGTTTAGCTTCAATTGCGCGATGATGTAGCATTCTGAGAGTGGTCAAACTGTTTAATACGACTCTGTTTTCCTCCGTCCATTATATGCAGGTACTGAAACTCCTAATAGCTTCTTCAGGTTTAACTTTCAGTTCATTGCTGGCAATTTCTTCGTCATAGGAATTGCCATGACTCTCCAATGGCATATGGTCTTCATCTCCAACAATCCATCTCCACAAATTTCAGTTTTTTTAGATTGTTGTCAGCGTTTATATGCTGCAAGATGCTTTCAACAATTTCTTGTCAAACTTCATCATTTGATAGCAATCTCTCTTTGAGAATCGACAATGAAACGTCATCTGAATCCCATTCAGTTTCTGAATTTGTGGCGACATCGACAGAATCACTATTATCAACTGAATAGCAAAATACATTTTGCTATTGGATCAGACAAGAGTTAGTCCCAGGCATCGGCAAGAAAAAAACACGGCGTCCTTCAATGTGATGTTCTTAAGAGCCCGAGAAATGTCATTTTCCTCCAAACCTATTACATGGACCAAAAGGCTCTTTCGATAATACAGCTTGGTTAACCGTATAACATTTTGGTCCATAGGTTGAATAAGTGAGGTACGATTGAGTAGCAAAAACATGGTTATAATTTGACCATAGTCGTTTGTTAGTGGCTAGGAGCATTGTCGACTAATAAAATGTCGACCATTAAGATTATTGTCCGGTTGAAATTTCCTCACTTGTAACAAATGATTCGTGGAATTTTTACAAATAGGGTAGAAGTCATTCAGGCATATTTTTGTTGCTTAATATTCATTTGGAAGAAAATCGCAATTCCTAAAAGCTCTAGGATTTCTTGCTTTTCCAATTACCATAATTTTGAGTTTGTGTGTGCCACCGACGTTTACACAGTCCAGAAAAGTTACTCTCTCTTTCGAAGTTTTTCGACCTGGGGCTGTTGTTTCTCCGGCATGTACCAATGTTCTATCAGATAGTAATTTCCACAATAATCCAGATTCATCTGCATTGTATATTTGACTGGGCAGTAGGTTCAGCTCATTACAGATCATCACGGCAGATGAATCACTAAATAATTTCTCACGAATACCATGCCTCTTTTTAAACTTACTTACTCACCCTCTGGTTGCAATAAATTTGTTGTCATTATAATATTTAGAGTAAATTTTAATAGCCTTTTCCCTTAAAATATTAGTTGTAATTGTCGCATGTCTTTGTCGCTATAACTGGCAGCATTTGTATAATTTGTATAATTAATTTTCATATGTACTGGTGTAGAAAGACATCTTGCAATTTAATTGTAAATACACTTATTCTTTTTAATATCGGAAATTGTGGATGTACCGACGCAATATTTCTCTGCTAGCACTTTGCCACTATAAACACTTTGCAATTTTTGTAATATATTCTGTTTTTTGGCGAGAGTTAAAGTTTTGTGTGGCCATGTTGCTTCAAACTGATTCGGGGATTTTCCTTGTTATGTTCCACACTGTTTCGGATTTTCTCGCTACTATTCAAACACGACGGGAAATCACACATGATAGGATCCGAATTTGCAATTTTAAATTTTGTCCTGATTAGAAGAATATCCGAATTTGCGGAGCTCAACTGTATAAAGCCAAAAATTTGACCGAATTTGTATGCATTAAAATTATTCATTCAAACAGTTAAAAGTTCAAATTAAATTTTTTTTATAAAACGCACACCCTTCCCCATATTACTCCGTTATATCAAAATTTTACTGTACTAACATTAAATGAGTTAGACATGTGATTATCGGGTGAGCTTTAAGAGTGATTGGAAAAGTAGAGTTTATAGGATTTCCGATGTGAACTAAGAACACTAATTCAACTCGAGAAAAAGGTTATCGGTGTTCAGCTCGCAGTGAAATTGTAGTGCGGCATGTAGTACGTTAACAGTTTATCGATCGTTTCGAATGAATGAAATCGGAAATTGGATGCTATGGCAAAAACGTCTGTTCGTTGAACCAATTTTAAAGTTGACGATTTAATTCTATATGGGTTAAGTTTTATTGGATTTTCTTTTCCTCCTTATATCCATCTTCAACTCAATTTTCTAATATTTAATTTATAAAATTTCTTAATTTAATTTTGATTATTTTTTTTTACAGATGAAGGTAAGGCAAAAAATCAACTTCCAAGAGGTTAATATCAGGTGCTAAAATTGTCTACTTTATGCATGTTATGTTACGTTTTGTACATATTTAGTATTCTGTTTCACTTTGTCGTAATAAGTGTAGTTGTCGTATTTAATTCTTTCACGCACGAATTTCCATTTTCATCCATTGTACTCTTTGTTTTCACCAATTTGTTTTTAGTCACAAAAATTTCTCTCGAGCACCGCACACGCATAGCGCGAGAATACATTCAGAGCGTACACGGAATTTAAATAGAAAACCGTCAGTTTCCAGGATCGCGCTTTGATTCGCGTTCTAAAAACTATAATAAGTCGATTAAATATTTTAATTGCGCTGCTCACGTGCTACTTGCTTTTCGTTTCTTTCATTCGTTATTTCGTTCTCACGTCTTTGCATGCAACATCTGTTAAATATTATATGTAAAAAATATCTACGATCTAGATTTCTAATTTGATTAAATATTAAAAACAACTCAAATCAGACTTTTCAAAGCAAATAAGCATCGTTATTATTTTAATTGAAATAGAAAGTTTTAATCTAAACACTTTAGAATATTTCGTTGTTAGAGATTATGTACATATATTAGGTGTATTGATACAAATATAATCACGCAAGGATGAGGTTCGTTATTACATGTGGAACAGACAAACTTAACCAGATTCTTGCAAATCTATTCCAAATACGTAAAGTAGATCGGAAGTACCAAAGGAATGCAGTTTGTCAAAAATGTCAGTAATCCACAGGAAAGGAGATAAAAATAAATGCGACAAACATAGAGGAATATTGGTAACCAATATTATCAGCAGAATATATGGAGGAACACATAAAAATAGAATTCAAGGCGAGTACAATGGATACAGAACAGCAACAGAAAAGCCTGCTTCAGTGTAAGGAGATCCACTATTGATCGTATATTTACATTAACTCAAATCAACTGTGTTTACAGTAACAAAAGGTCTTTATTAACAGCGTTATTGTATAGCGCCTATAGTATTTAAAGTTTATGTAGAAAGCGCATTACTAACAATGAGATAGAAAAGAAAATGCCAAACAATGAGCATACCAATGGATAGTACATTAACATTCTACATATAGGAGATTTGCTAAAAATCAAGTTGTGATTGCATAAGATATTGGTGGACGGCTATAATAAATGAGGCTTAGAGCTTATCTTGCGAAAAATTGAATACATGTGTATTGGAGAAAAACAAACAAAACATTAAATATTGCAGCTAATACTTGGTCGTAAAAACATTGAAGGAGGAAATACTTGGTGAGGCGATATTTGAAAGAACCTACAGAGTAGAGACAATAATTAGAAGTATAATAACTTATAGCTCTGAAATGTGGCCTATAAAGAATAAGACTGAAAGGACATTAAAAGCCACACAAATAGATTAATGGAGAAGAGCTGCTGGAAAATGAAAATAAAACACAACGTTGTAGATGAAATAGAACTACCCAACTTAGATGGTACGGAGATGTACAAAGAATGAGTGGATACCGTGAAAAAAGAAAAGACTGAAGAAAGAGACTGGGAGAAACAGAGACGAATGGCGATTAGTAGTCGGAGGACGGGCAACCTTATATTTTGCGGTTATAAACAGCAGTTGTGCAAGAAGAAAAACAAGAAAAGGCTGAAGAAGTTATTTTAATAATAATAATAACCACCACACCAAGATGTCGCCAAGCCAAGGAGATTCTGATGTACCCTGATCCTAAACGAACAAATTTATTTATGAGGCTGTCCAGGAAGAACCTACGTTTGGTCATAGGGCTAATCACTGGACACTGGCATCTACAGAAGCACTTACTGAACATGGGGATGCGGTGGATCTGCAGAGAATGCGGTGAGGAGGAGGAATCAGCGGACCAGATTTTATGCGACTGCGTGGCCCTCCAAACATTAAGGTTATCCTTTTTTGGAGATATCCAGATTAGCATGAGTGGAATCAGGGCAGCACAACCAGGACAAATTCTAGTTTTTGCCTCCAAGGTAATATGGCTGGAAGGACCCTAATGCTGACCAAATGAGGGGAGTAAGTACAAGGGATCTGCTGAGGTCAAAGTGCTGCGAATCCAGAATCCAGGTTGGTAGAATAAACATGGATAGACGAAAATTCTACTGGAGTAACAGATTACTTGGTAAAAAAAGTATGAAAAGATTTATGACAGATAACGAATATTAACTTAAAAAGAACAAATTTAATGTAAACAATATTACCACAATTAAAATAAAGACACTTAGTACGGTAGAAATACCCTAGAATACGAAAGTGAAGCAGGATGATAACCTCAGCCCACCACTCCTCAATATTTTAATAGCCAAGTAATAGAACAAGTTCGTAAGGTAAAACACGGATACAAGATAGGAAAAGATGAACTAAACATCATATGCTACAAGGCCGACTCAATATTGATTGCAGACACGAAGAGACAAATGTTACTAAAACAAAAACTATAACAAATAGCTAGAGAACTGCGCAGATGTAAACTAAAAGTGAACGGTTACATGCCGTAATAACCATATCGTGTTCTGGAGAAAATGATATGCTTACCACAACACAACATATGTTAAAAAAGTCAGCTGGAATACGAAGAGCACTGAGAATAATTATCTCGAGGAATAATTGCTTTTCTACCGAGACCAAAGTGGGTTTATACAGAACCTGTGTCAGACCAATAATGACAGATACTGCGGAGCAATCACAGGAAACACACTATGGGAATTGAGAAGAAGTAAGGAAATTCAGGAGGAACGAGACGGAAGATGTTGTAAAATGGATTCGCACACGGAGCGCAGGATACTTTGGGATAAGCACTGCTGTGCACGCGCATATATAAAACCTTATTCTTCACGCCACATTAGTGACCCTGAAAATAAAGAACGCAGTGCGTTACCTAGACCTTGCATCTGGAGCTGTATAACAATCAGATACACGTAGCCACCCGCCCCTAGAACCATCACACCTTGCAGCCACCTAGCCATCTGTTCTTGAGATCTCATTGATTACCTCCAGCTCCAATAACATCAGGCTACAACAAAAGCCAACCTACGAGCCTGCAACTGGAACCTCGTACGCACTAGTCCCTGGAGCAACGTAGCCATCAGCTCTTCTGAGCGCAACTTTACCACTTAATCCAAGAACCAGATCAAAGGTATAAAAAAGTAACTTTGGGAGATTCCCTTTTTATACTAAAAAGTTAGTAAGAGGAATATTATTTTGATAATTAAAAAAAAATAATTGTTCACGAATAGACTGAATAGACGAATAGACTGGCAAGGAGTTCCAGATGTTGTGTCCACTGAAGATAAAACCATACTAACAACAAATGGCGAAAATCAAATAGAATGTAAGAAAGAGGAAAACTTGTATGTCGCAAGGTTTGATTTTTATAGAAAAGCTGTAATGCAGCAATTCACCTATTATTGCTAGTCTGGCATAGAAAATTAGGACATCAATCAGAACAATATTTGAAAGAATTGAATATACATGTTTCGACTTAAATATGCAGCCCATACAAGGAAGGGAAAGTAACAAAACCTTTTCAGAGAAGAATTACCAAAATCAAAGGCAGCAACAATCAATGAATAAAAATATTATCATATTTATTAAAAACAATCTGCAAAAGCAACCTAAATGAATAATGCAGGAGAATTTACACTGCTCAACAAAACGGGGTGAGTAAAAAGTCATTCCATAAAGCTAGACAATTTTTTACGAGAGTTTGAAGCAGCAGATGCTATGGTAAATGGGTCAGACTAGGTATGTTATTGACTCTTCACGATACCTGAAAAATATGACAATGGAATCACTGCTATTGAAACGGAAACATCTGCAATAACGATGGCATTCGTAAAGGGACATATTCTGAGTGCTATTGTAAAATTTTATATTTAACCCGCCACCTGTTGTTATTTTTCTGATTTAAAGGTTGGGGTTTTTCCTTTCCCGGTTTATTTTTATATAAATTCATTCTTGTTATTTTTAACTTTTAACATGGTCACTGCCAATTTTATTTTTTTTTAGTTTTACAGTGTCATGCAATTTAGTTCCATGTTTTGAAATTGTTCGTTATGTACTTGGTATTGATCTGTTTCCATTTTGTCAATATTTTTTTCCTTTTCTTTTTACAATTAATTAAGCTAGAACTTTGTTTTTTAAACTAAATAGTTTTCCTTGAAAAAGGAATAAAGTTTAATTCCGAAAGCTCGGTATAAAAAACAAGAACAACGTTGTTTTAATCTGCTTACATTGGGTGTTTTCTCCAAGAATTTTCCGCAGTTGCTCCTATTGTACCGTTATTCCGTTCTTCGTATGCCATCTTAGATAAAGTAATAATAATATTTGCATTTATCCCAGATATTTATAATAACAAGCGTATCTTATAGGAAATTTATATGCATTTTATTGTGTGTTTCAATTATAACGACACTGGATATATCATTCTGAGCAGATATGTAGATAAATCAACGAGTCATAGTTAATGCTGGAAAAAGGATATTGTGTTATTTAAGTAAGCATAAAGGTAATTCCGAATTAATAGGAATCAACATTTATGGAAGAAATCCAATTTTTTGGAAATAAGCAATATTTAATAAAATATTTAATATTTTAGATGAAAAATACTTAAATCAATTAAATTGAAAAAATAAGTGAAAGAAACAATTCTGTTAACGGTTTTAAATAATATAATGTTATTTGAAACAATAATTACATTTGTTCAGAGTTAAGCTCTAAGAAGCGGTCATTTTTAATGACCGTGACGGTGATATTCTGAGTAGAGCTCTAAGTACCGTGCGAAGATTGCTTTCTCGAATAGCTTACGGGGAAGATTTTGAAAAGATTTCCTTGTCGTATGTCACGATTTAAATTGACAAGCATTGTTAATAGTTTAATAGTTAAAAAAACTGTTGATGAATCGTTTTGGAGACATCGAAAAGAGAAACACCGACGACAAAGACAGCTACGAAATAAAAACAAAATAACAAAAAAGTTTGATGAGCTTTTGATGGAGTCTTTACTTAGTAGAGAGAAACTTTTTACGTTCTCCTTCAATTTTCCAATTGCAAATTACATGCAAATTGATACAATTACAGATGCATCTTAGGAAGAATGAGACGGAGATAGTGTAGTACGAGCACCTAACAACCTCTTTCCATCCCAAAAGTCATTTAACCGCTGAAAATTCCATTTCCTATTCTACTCTACGCTTTAAATTCCTCTTTTTAATTTTATATTGCATCCAGCGCAATGCAAAACTCGTACAACCGTGACGTCTTTCTCCCGACAGACAGGATTGGATTTTTACTGCAGGGAGTATTTTCCGAAATACGAACTTTAGGTTTTATGGATCCTTCGGTGCGGGAGATGTAATAAAGTTTTCCGAACAATCGTTATTTTAAAATTTGTTGGCGAGATATTCTGGTATTAATAAATTTAGAAATTCAATATGAATTTTGAAGCGTTATTAAAATGAGCCAAAAAACCTTAATTCATTCTTGAAATAAAATGGTTTGTGTGCCGTGATCAACGTTATAAAGGAAATTGGAAGAATAATCGACGTTTTTTAAAGGTCTCATTATTTTAAAAGGCTCCTGCAACGCTTTGGGATTAACGAAAATTATATCGGTAAGATTCAAAGTTAGTAAAGCTTCCATCGACTAATCGATTGAGAAGTTTTTACTTTAATAATTGGAAGCTATTTCGAATACTAAATGAAACTGTAGGCATTACAAAATTTGTTTCGTGCGAATTGGAAACTTTTTAGTTTTTTTGATAAAGACAAATTTGTCATGTTAATGAAAACGAGAAATGGAGCGAAACGATGTAATAGAAAAGGAATTGGGAATAAAGTACATATTTATAGAAAAGTTTGCTACAAACTTTACCTATCGTAACTTATCCAATATTAGAAGATTTAAACGACTGTTTTCAAGGATAAATTGTTTGAGAGTTTTCGAACTAATTGCTATTGATGAGATTGTTAATTATTTTAATGAAACAGTTTTGTTTGTCCCATATCTTCTCTTATTACTTGAGTTGCAAAGATAAACTCACCTTTGATAACTTGGAATATTAATTTGACGATAAAGGTAAGTAATGCCTTTGTGTATTACAAAGTGTTTCATAATATTGTTAGGAGTACCATTAGTACTGCAAAGGAAAACGTGTCTTTCTTGAGTTGAAGTGTAATTTGAATGAGTCTTATAACTAAAATAATATAAATAAAACGTTATGACATTGTTAAATCATCTCATTGCTAATTTGCCGATGTAATTAACCCTAAAGCGGTTGAAGCATGTTTATGGGGCGACATTTTTGTGTTGTGTTCATTCCATGACAATCGTATATATGAAATTACTCCTAAAGCTAAATTTCAGATGTTTGTAGGAGATATGTCTTCTTGGAATGTTTGAGATGCGCTAGCTTTATTACTACAATAGCTCCCGTTCAAACCCCTGCTATTCTTTGTACTCAACCACAGATTCTCAGACAATGTTTAGATAGTGTCATAAATGTGTCATAGATAGATAAAGAAAGAAGAGTATAGCAGAAAATTATACAAAATGTATACAAAAATCTAGATTTAAAAAAGTAAAGCATGATAAAAGTACAATAAAATTAACAAGAGCTAACCACAGCAAGCAATATTTTACAACAAAAAACGCACGATTACCAACTATGGCAATGCATTGGCAAGCCCTCCAAGTCATCAAAATTGTTTATCAGATATTCATCACTGTTATAGAAACTTTTAAACCCAAGTTTGGGTCTACCTTGGTTAAGGTAGAGCCTTGTTTTAGTTCTAAACTGCTTAGCATGCCTAGACATGCGCGGGCAGCACATTGATCAACTTTTGGCATAATAGTTCACGCTATCTCTGCACTGAGAGAAATATATTCTTGAACGGAGATTATTACTCTTGGCTAAAGTTTATCATATTCTTGTGTATCCACAAGATCATTTTGTTGAGTGAAGAAAAGCCACATATTCTCAAAGCAAGTATACAAATATTCTTGATTCTCAAGAAAACGAATTCTTAGTGAAAGTAAATCAATAATCTTGAAGAAGAGTATCTTAGTGTTGCGTCAACAATCCCATTTTCGTATCGAGAATAGATTTCTTAAGTTAAGAATAACGTATCTTTCTTTTTAGAAAAACTTATTCATGTAACAACAATCTTGTATAATTCTTCATTTGTGTATTATAAATTATTAATATTCATTTTTGTTTTCTTTTCACCTGGGTAATTCAATTAAACAAATTTTGCACTTAAAGGTGAAATGTGTTTATTATCACTCTACCGGTTTCGCTCCTTTCGGAGCATCTTCAGGAGTTCCTAAAGTTATTAATTTTACAACACTTTCTATTATTATATAATTTTACATTTTAACTTACGTCAATTTTTTGAACAACTAAACATGTATGTGATACTTTATTGAATTAATTCACTATTAAAATGTTAATCTCTAAACATGTGCTATCATACATCACTTTTTATTATATTTTAGGTTATGTTGAAACTGTCAATGGTATATTTTCTATTTTAATGTTGGTAATCTGTCAAATGTGATTGTCGTGTATTGAATTTAAACTTTCTTGTTTTGAATAGGTTGATTTTCAACAGGTTAAAATGAGGTATTACAACATAAACATATTAACTCCCTACATCAAACACACTGAAAAATATAATGGTACAGAGAGAGCAGCTATTTTTAGAGTTCGGGAGGTTTTCGTGGAGGTGTGTATGGTTGTTTGAGATAGGTATATAGTGGTCTTCTTGTAGGTATAATTTGTTCGTTTAGGCATGTTACATCAGGGCACTTAACATTTAACTCAAAACATGAATTTAACGAAGATAAAAACTCCAGAATCCTTCATCTTATCAATAAAATATACTATTTAGAAGTAATGGAAAACTATGAAATTAATAAATTCCTCAACAACTGCCCCATTTAATTATAAATTATTGACGCAAGAGTGAATTTTTTGATACAAAAAATTGATATTCTTCGATGCTAACAATATTTTTGTTTTAAGAGTATCTTAACTTGTTTCTAAAAAATATATTCAAGAATAAATTTTTCTTGAAAATCAAGAATAATTTCTCTCAGTGTGGCTCTCACTGTACGTGTAATATTTATTTCATTATCGTTATTATTTCTAGTGCGATAATTATGTTTATCTACAACTATTGAATTATCTATTCGTTATACATTTGATTTTTGACGGGTAATGATACGCATTACCCATGACTGACAAAGTGTTGAATAATGAAGCCATTATTCCACAGTTCTGACACAGCCTACTAATAAAAAAATAAAACATTAACAGAAATGACAGCTTTCCTATATTGAGGTTATGTCGGAAATGTCTATCAAGTTTCTTTTTTCGTTTTTTTGATTTTTTTTTCAAAATTAAATAGTTGTAGATAAAGTATAGTATTCAACTTGCGTATAATGGATGTTACCCACTCAGATTACAACACTCGCTCGCTTCGCTCGCTCGTGTTGCAACTTCATCTTCGTGGGTAACAGCCGCCATTATACGCTTGTTGAATAATATACTATTATCTACGACTGCTTGGATAAGTCATCATTACCGCACTCATTTGAGGTGATTTGAGTTACGTAATGAAGTTGGTTTCATTACGTAACGCATTTTTAGCCCAAACAGAACAGATTTAATTTATTGAAACGAGCAACAATATAAAAGGAAAAGTGCTACCTATTAAAAGAGAAACAGTACTATTTATTATAAACATTAATTGTTATGTTTTTACATTTCGCAACACTTATTCCAGATGAATAAACATGTTATTGAAACTGACATTCATTCAAAATTGTCAACAATCATTTCAAAATATTTTTATAAATATCAAAATAGACCTTCTTAAAGAAATTGATTTTTAAATAATTTTTAGCAGTCGTAGATAAAATGTTGTATATCACACGTGGGCTAGAGCATAATTACAGTACTCGTGTGATTACACGACTTGATCTACGACCTCGTCGTGCAATTCTCCGCACTCGTACAGTAATTATGTTTCTAGCTCACTTGTAATATAAATAACTATTATCGCTTATATTACGATATGAAGTTGAATTATTTTTAATGTATTGCAGATATTCTAGAACACACGGAATAGTCAAGATATTCTATTCAGTGAATTTTGCTCTGCAACATTCGGCAGAACGCAAACCAGTCATGACTTAAGCATCTCTTTTGCATTCAAAAATCCTGGCCAACGTGACCAGAGTGACCCCAATATAGAATGGCGTAGGATATCTATGGGTAGAAGTACCCGTAATAAGTGACACAAATACACTTATTCAACATCTTAACCAATCTCAGCACATAACCCTTCCACGTTAGCTTGGAATCAAGTATCACTGCCAGATATTTAACCGGCTGAGTGTGATTTCGTGGAATTCCCCGTATAGTTTCCAGAATATTTCCGCATATTCCGTATACCCAATTCTCTCCAAAATTTATTCATCCCACATCAAAGCTTTTTGGTATTACCGTTTGGTAATTTCTATCTATTTTAGATGTTCTTAGAAACTTATTTGTTCTCTGTATTCTGTTTGTTTCGTCTTGATCTTGTACTCTCTTTCTCTTATTACAACTAATTTTTTAACCACTTAGGCATCTTAAAACATGCCAGCTACTGCTGGACCGATACAATTCTTTAAAATGGGATTCTGAAGTATTTGTATACAATTATCTCTTCAATTTCAATTTCCTTTTATTTGTTCATTTTTTCTTCTTGGTATTTCTAAATCATCTCCTCCATCACGTATTTTTGAAACCACCAAAGTCACCAAGCGTCTATATCACACCGAGAACTGATTCTGTGAATAATCAGATATCAGTTATCGCAATTCAAATATGCTTAATAAGCCGATTAATTTAGTTTAAGAAATATTAAATTTATAATTAAGCTTCATTAAATACAAACGCCTAAATCATCTAGAGAAATGTTTGTTTACTTGAACCATCGCATCAAGATTAGAGAAGGACATAAACACCATTTGCTTGTACATAGCCGTTGACATGCTTACCAGATAATAATAGGGCGATAACAAGTCTAATGAAGTTTGGGTTACTCTTGTATGTCCAAACAAAACGATGATTACGGTATGAAATAGGTTTCTAGAGGATAGCATTTTCTATAGTTTTCTTAGTCTGATTCTGGACTTTAGGAACACCGTAAAGTTTCAAACAGTTTTTTCTGGTGTAGTTTTAGAATTATTGACCCTTTTTTCCTGAAGTGTTTACTTGAAAATTCAAATGACAAACGTTTAGAGAAAGAAAAACTGAGATCATTAGGAATTAGCAAAAACCGTCAGTTAACGAATGCATAACGTTGTCCAGTCATCTTTAATTTTTGAGTTAGCTGGAGTTTGTAATCCATTGGAATAGACAAACCAAAGTTTTCTGTGTAACTTGTAGCTATGGAAGAACGAATTAGAATCTTTACTTCAGTAACTAGTTCCAAACATCCGAATTTGTTGATTAAATCGATATTTGAGTGAGCGGGTGCTTCATAAAGTCCGAAAGCAGTTCGAATTTTACAAATGGTTTTAGTTGAAATTATATCGTTTTTGTAGTGAAGTCAATTACAAAGTGTTTTTCAAATATATATTGACCTATTTTTCTGTAGACACCTACAAATTTCACCCAAACAACAGTGCTAAATTTAAAATGACAGCTCTTAATGGAAAATCCGTTCACATCCACGCTTCATTTGGAATTCCATCACTCTCTGTTACTATATTTTTCTATAATCATTCTTTTCTTTGTGACATTCGTTTTGATGACATTTCTATTAGTGCATTATAAAATTTGTATATTATTCATTTCTCGATCTTTTCTGAGTTGTTTATTTTAATTTTTGACACTAACTGAAATATCTTGATATAAAATTATCAACCGCTAGATACTCGTTTTTGCGCAAATCATTGCGAAATAATAGAACAAAGCAAACAAAAACTTCCGATAATGTTCTTTTCAAAGAGTATGATGTTTCTTAGTACAACTCTTTCACCAATGCTATGTCGTAACAAATCACAAAATAATGAGAAAAAATGCGAACAATATTATGGAATAATCAGAATACTTATATCGCAAATTTTCGTTAGAATACATTGTTACAAATGTATTTATCTGAAATCTTATTTTTACAAGTTGTCCTTTAGAATTAGGGAAGGTATTAAAGTTCTTAGTTAATTATGCTATGCAAAGTCTATGAAATATTCACGCTATTTCTGCCTCAAAAAGGATGTTTTGGAGTAACTTACATTATTTATGCGCAAAAGGATTTTGACAACCTTCGTACTACAAATATTTTCAGAATCAGTCTTTGAGAGTACAACAAATATTTACAGAGAATCTGAAAGGTTTTCAATACACTCTACAAAGCTTTTTGTGTTAAAATGAAAACAAGATGATGTTGACTTTGGAAGGGAGGATTATTTGAAAGCTGCGTTAAAAGCTCTTTTATAAAAGAAATAGAAGTTTAACAACTTTATTTCAGTATTTAATAATTAAATGGGCTATTTAGAATATTTATAAGAAAATTTTATCCCATGTTCCATCGCATCGTTTCTTTTTTACTATCTAATCTTAGTAAGTAGGTATGCAAAATTCACAGAACCGTAACATCTTGCCACAAAATCATATCAGCATTCGCCTCGGTGCTTTTTCGAAGTATATATACGAACGTTTGTGCATCGAACCGTTGAAAAGCTAAAATGAAGTTTCCAAAATCCACTCGTTCCTTTAAATGGCTGCGCAAGGAAAACCAAATATGTACAATGCGAAAATGTAGAAGTTGCCTTTTAAACTATAGAGATAGAGAAGCTATATATTCGTATACAGTAAATATTTACTCTTTAAAGCGCTAATTTTAGTTACTTCAGAATATCACGATTACGAATGATTTGTTGAACCGTAAAATTATCTTAATAAAGTCTAGGTACTATAAAATTTCACTTCGATGGTTTTCTGAGAAACGTAACACGAAATCCGTTTTGATTGAAAATCCAAAATGTAGTTTCGAAAAGCTCGTCGCTTTAAATGGCATGCGGAGACGTGTCAAGCATAAAACAAATATGCGCAATGCTGAAACTGCAAAGTTGTAGCTTTCGAGTTTAAAATGAATGTAAAACGACGGCTTTGCACACAAACATTGGAGTTTTTGTCATAGGAACTTCAATCGGATATTAAAATCGTAACCTAAAGTATTAAATCTTTTGTTTTAAAAATTTGCAAAACTTTGTTTCGTATTATTTTGAAATAAAATTGCACGGTCATGCATCGGTTGGCTTAGAAACTCAAAATGTACTTTCCAAAAGCTCGTTACTGCAAATAGTTATAGGATGCTTGGAACATAAAACTAATGTACAGTGTTACAGGTCGGTGACGTTAAAACGGAAGGGAGAGACGTTGACATATTTAACGAATAAACTTTGTTATAACATTACAAAGCGTACTAGTTAGAGTTATACTAGTTAGATTTATAAAGTAACATTGCATATTCTTTAGTTCGATTTTCTGTTAATAGGATAAAGTTTTTTCAGTCTTGCATATGCTTTGTTTAATTTTTTATTAATATGATACTCCCACTGAAGTTTTTGGTCCAAATATACTGCCAGATGTTTGACGAGAAGATGCTGTCTTGAGGAACTTAGTCTGATGGGTTTTGACTCAGATTTATAAGCATTAACTCAGACGTCAAATTTTCTATCTTCCAAAAATGAGAAAATTACTGCTTTAAGATATATAGTCATACTGAGGCAAAGGCCTCTGCTA